ATGTAATGTCTGATAGTGATCAATAATATGAAGAAAAATGAAGCAGAATTAGGGGATAGAGAATGATAGGGGTAAATTTAGTCAGGATAGGCCTCTCTGAGTTGGTAACCTTTGAGCCATGGTCTGAATAATGCAAGAGAGAGGACCATGCGAAGAGCTGGAAGAGGAATGTTCTAGGGAGAAGAAAAAGCATGTATAACTATTCTGGACAAAATAAAATGATAGTATGGTTGCAGTGATGTGATTGAGGAGGAAAGTGGTAGAAAGGGTCAATAATAAGCAATATACTTACATAATACTTATGTAGGAACCCAGGTAAGTAATTTGGGTTGGCCTGTTTTAGGTTGATATCAGTGATTTTGTTTAAAAAAAAAAAATATATATATATATATATATATATATAGCCTCAGTGGCTATAGTGTGTAGTAGAATTTAGTGGATGTTGTGGAGTAGTTTTTTGTCCTGAGCCTCCCTTCTTACCCCCCAAAAAAGCTGTGAATCTTTTAATAAAGTAGATAAGATTTGAGGTATGAGGTAGAACAGATTTAGAGAAGAGAAATCAAGAAATTTATTACAGACATGTTAAATAAATTTTTTCAGACATGGATGCCCATGTTAGAATGCTGAAAAGTAGGTAACACCCTGGAACTTAAGTGATTAGGGCTAGAATTGGGGACCTATCAGTTAATTATAGACGGTATTTAACACCATAAGGCTGAATGAGATTACCAGTGATGAAATTAGAGTTGTTATTTAAATATAGGAAAATTGTAACATTACTACATTTTAACATTAAATAGAGGGAACCAAGTACCACGTAAGCATGCTCAACATGTAATAATAGTAGGGATTTACTTACCGGTAATTGTAAACAGTTCTTCATTGGGATTTTGTTGACAGTGTTCTGGATTTGAGCCAAAGAGTTTATAATATTTGGTCTTTGAACCTAATTGTATTTTCTGTCACCTCCTATTTAAAAAGCAGAAATAAATCTTATTTTTCAGTGACTGCAGAGAGTCAGTCTATCAATGGTCTCTAAAGCTTGTATTTGGACACAGTAATACTAGTATAGGAGCTCTGGTGGTATACTGCCTAAGGCATTTGATTGCTAACCAGAGGCTGCCGGTTCAAACCCACCAGCCACTCTGCGGAAGGAGGACTGGGCAAGCTACTTCTGTAAAAATTTACTGCCTCGGAAACCCAAAGGGGGTCGCTATGACTTGGAAACTTGATGGCAGTGAGTTTTTTGGTTTTTGGTTTACTACTAGAATGTCTTACCGGCCTGTGAAAACAAAAACTTTCCCTTTTCCTTCCCCAAGTTATTCTTTGGTATACAGGATGAGAGACTACAGTTGATAGTAACAACAAAAATACAGTTACAGTTTTTCTTTCATTTACTCAAAGCTGAGTCTTTTTTTTTAAATTAATTATCTAATAATAAAGCTCTTTGCTCACATATTTGAAGGAGATGCTAATTGTTAATCTCAGGAAAGAAGAACTGAGAAATTAACTGGTTCAGTAGTAACTGATTTTCTGAGAAGCACCAACTAGGTCTACTTTGGTCAAAATTAATAAAAATTTGATGTTTCTACATGGTTAAAAACTGCTTGTTTATTATTTTTGAGCTCCATTATTTTTGGTAAATGACTGTTTAAAAGAAAATACTAAACCAATGATAAGAAAATACTATTTCTTAATTTTGGCATCAATAAATAAAATACTTGCGTGCTGAGCTTGTTCTCACTTTTAAAATAATGCAAATAATTTCTAAAGCTGCTTTCAAATGATAAATAGAAATTTTTTGTGTTAAAACTAACTTTAAATTCAATTTGAGTTCTTTGTATCTAGTTTTATAAAGATACAATTTTGTAGAATACTGTGGGGTGCAAGAATATCTGAGATGTAAAAAGATACAGCTAGGCTACAGTTTCATTATGATTGTTGATAGTGACTAGAAAATTAAGTCACTTGTTTTTTAATACTAAAAATGGGGGCAGTGGTTGATGTTGTTGTTGTTGTTATGTGCCGTCGAGTCGGCCCCGACTCATAGCGACCCCTCCTTGGGTTTCCGAGGCAGTATCACTACGGAAGTA